TCATTGCAGGTGTACGAATTTGCTATCTTTTTATTCACCGTATCTAAACGATAGGTTTTTGTCACTAAGCCTTGGCAAAAGTAAACTCAATTTTACCAGTGGTTTGTGCATTTTTTGGCACATTTTGCATCACCGGTTATCGCTGTAATGGACTTCTTATCTACGCATGCAGAGCTACGTCGTTAGGCCACAGGTAACCTGGGTGAATGTGGCCTCAGCGTGATTTGTCTGATGTCGACAAGATCATGCTCTCGTCTGGTCTTCCCTTCCTGTTGTGATTCTTGGCCATAATGGCATTCGGTCGAGCCGGCCAATGGAGTTGCCCAGAACTTTTAAGCGCTTTGCAAAAGCAAAATCAAGCCACATACCCAAACAGTCAAATCGTGCCAGTCAAATCCAGCTGATCTCATTCGAGACACCGAATAGGAGAAAAAGGTTTTTTTCCCACCCAGGCTAGTGAAGATGGAGCAAGCCATGACATTTATTAGTCCAAGGGTTAATGGGGACATGGGGATGACCATTAAGTCCCCTTAATAAAAATCACGATAAAATATCTGCGTATGCGCCAGAAGCTAAATGAGGAGGCACAGGTATTGCAGTTGTTGAACGACTAATGACTGGTGCTACATGACATCATCATAGCGATCGCATTAACTACTCTAATTAATTCCCGAGCTCCTATTTAAGGACCGTCAACTATATTGCAAGTGGATTTGCATGGGCATCGAGAACGCTGAGGAGGGATTCGCCTTGGGCGCCAGACCGATAGAATTTCTCCAGATAGGTTTTGGTTTCTCATAAAACTGGTTGCAAATTTTAACACGCCAATCTTCCCTGGATCAGGCAACATAATAATTAAGAAAAACTGGAAATATGGAACTGAAAACACAGGATTTTTTGACGAAGGCTGAATTGCATCAAATAAAAGAAATGTCATGTGTTTAGTGTGGGTTTGCTGAGGAATAATTACTCACGAGCTTCTCCTGTGTGGCCAAGCAGAATTTGCGGGGAAGCACAATGTTAAATTCATTAAACTCAATGTTAAAAGCCAAGCCGAATGTTTATCAAGACGGCATTAGTTTTACCCATGACAACGCTAGACCCTGTGTCGTTCAACAGACACTGAATAAACGTGGGGAGTTTAAACGGGAAACCACCGAGCCATTTCCGTTGGATTAGCCTGACCTTACACCACCATCTCGTTTTCCTCCGTTCTGTTCCCTCCAAAGCAATTTGAATGACAATAAATTAATTCTGTAATTTAATTCTGTAAAGGACTTTACAAACTACCTCACGACCGCCTTTGCAGAGAAACCGGGCTGTAAGGCGTTGCAGGACCACCAAAAAAATTGCCGGAGAGAACAGTGCTTATTTATAAATACTGTTTTGCATGAATTTAGGGTTAAATTTATTCGGTTTTAATTCAGGCCCAAACTTTTGCATTCAACCAATATTTGTACGTGTTCCAAATTCTACTCATCTTCGTGAGCGAAAAAATCTTATGGGGTGGTAAGTATTGCGGAAGCACAACAGAAGTGTGCTGCACCAAGCACACTTCTGTGAAAACGATTGCTTCGTAGATGCCAGACTGTTTCATTGTGGAACAGTGACAGTTTACATGTAAAAATAAGGTTCTTTCGTAACTTAATTTCAATGCTAACCACGTGCACTTGCTGATTTGCCGAAGTTTAGGCCCGCTCACTCGCTTGCCAAATGTGCGTAGCTACTGGAATGGAATTCGTGTGTTAAAATTTACCACTTTTTCTGAACGCAAAGCCTATTTCGATAAATCCAGTCATTATGGCGCCTAAGGCAAATCCCTCTTCAGCCTACTCGAGATGCCTACCTAAATTCATTTGATAGTCCTTTTGGGAATGTGGACTTGCACACGAAACGAGCTCGGAAATTCCGGGAATTGATTAGTATGAATTAATTAGAGTAGTTAATGCGGCCTCTATAATGATGTCGCGTAGCAACGATTATTAGTCGTTTAACAACTGTTGAACCTGCATCTCCTCATTGGACATTAAGCTTGAAAGAAGTGATTCCATAGCATTGCACAAATCCTGGTTACAATGTGGGTGTCATCGTAAATTTGCAACCAACTTCTCATAGATATTTTAAACCAACATTGTCTAGACGTAATGAACATTGTCCAGTGGAATCGCGAAGTTCAGCTATAGATGGAAGCCACGCTGAAGTCAAAATTACTTTGCAGCCTTCCCCCAGTCTATCAATTCACATGTCGAGCAAAAGCAGGCAGATGTGTTTCCACTGGAGGCTGTCATTCGTGTGCCTTCAATATTTGGTGCCATTTCTCACCGTCTGGAATTTAATGCTGAGGATATAGATGCACACTAAACTGATAGAAAGCCTCCTTATTCGTGTTAACAGAGCGCGACTTTGGGCGTTAGTGTGAGGGTCGGAGGAGGGAAGGGGGGTGGGGGGAGACGCCAGTAGCGCCAATTAATAATGACACTTTCCGAGATGCCACGAGTGCAGCTACGTGCCTCCTCGGCAGTGACCTCGTCCACGTCCCCGTCATCGGTGCGACACGTAGCTCCGAGCGGGAGGGGAGGGCAGGGCAGGGGGAATCCGACCCGGGATCATAATCCTGATCCAAGCGACACACCTGCTACACACCGGCAGTCACATTACGTGCCTTTATGTCCCTCCTCACTGCTTGTTAGAGAGAATGTGCGATGACAATTCTGTGAGCCCAATTCCAAATCTGAAATGGGAGGAAAGTTGATTTAAAGGACTGTCGAGGTTTTGTAATCACTTCAGTTATCTGAGCGAAAACTATTTGTTATCCAGGACAACGCAACTTTATGGCAGAATATCAGACTTCGCAAAAGACGATGATTTTCATTCTCCAGATTTGAACAGGTCGCACAAATTTTTCTGTCTCACAATCTTTGTTGTTATCTGTCCAGGAGATGGCTATCATGGAAAAAACAATGCTGATGACTGGGTACAAATAATGTTACCTTATGGCCAACCACAACAGCCCTTTACAGGAACCACTATATTGAGGATCATGGATCAGAGGATGCTAAGTGACGTGCTCATAAAGTCCTTTATGTTTGCTCTCACCGAAAGCTCAATTAACGGCTGTTCACTAAATAATTTAATGTCTTCGGACTTGATAAAGAGCGCTAGTTGTGTAAGCTAGAGCACGTCTACAAGGTGATTCCCTCACTGATCCTTTGGACAGAGGAGCATCTTGCAGTCTCATCAGTGGGTGAGGTGGGTTTAAAACGAGGATTGTCTTTCCGCAGACATGAACAGATGGCTCCAGGCTGCAAACGGTTTGAGATAATTGCCTAAGACCCCGCAACACGCAATTTCTTCATGCCCCGCAAACACATACACACACACGTGCATAGAACATATGGGCTTTGCAGGTGGGTACAGGTGTGGGGTGTGAATCACAGGAACCCGCCCCACCTCCACCCTCCGAATCCTTTTAAATTTGCCGGATTGTCTTGCAACAGACTGCCTGGTCCTTTGCAAATGCCTTTACCTTAATACCGTGTGCCCAGTATATGCGACCTTTCCTAGCTCAGATAGTTGTGTTTCTAGGGTAAATTACTGGAGAAGTTACTCGAATCCCCATAAACGAGGTCCCATCTTTGGGGTACAGGTAAGCAGTGGGAGAAATAGCACTTTTAATTTAGTGGTCCGCCCAATGTGCCCGTTAAAGCAGTCTTGTTGGTAGGGTTGGGAAGGAAAATAGCCGTTAATAATAGCAATACGTCGAATCACTGGCACAAATAGCCATTGATGGATTTGAGGTTTTTGCAACTGCCAACAGTTAGAACAGCGAATAGCCTATTGCTGAATGATTAGGAAATAAATAATCATCAGCCAATTAGAAGCATTGATTTGTTTGAATATTTTACATGATTACAACATATAGTTTACAACTGCTAAGGCCTTCCATAGATTCAAAAGTTAGAGTCATAAAATACCAGCCAGTAGTGGCACACTTTTCCACCCGAGCCTTCAGTAGGAATCTCCGGCCATGAACATGCGCGCTTAAAAGACCAATCGGAACAAACCTGAAAACCGGCTGACTATTGGCCGTTGACGGGCCACGGGCTTTATTGCGTGCTGATTGGTTCCTGTCATCACATTGACAGTGTGCCACATAACAAAGACGACATTATTTCACACGTTTCGATACAGCCTTTGACCAACCAGGTGGGTACACTTTACTTTTCTTAAATTACCAGCAACCACACTTCCTTTGTGAAATTATTTGGATTTTGAATTTATTGCTTCAACTGAACTCGAACAAATCGAATTCAGTGCCTATCACAGTTATAAACGAGTAGACCGAAAATCAGAAATTTAATTTACTAAATAAGTGACATATTTTGGTTTAAAACGTGTAGGGGTCCACTTAGCATGCAATGTCGGCTTATCTTACGCGTTTTTGCGCCACGAAATGCGGTCAGACGGTGTCTTAATTGTCGCAACTAAACAATCGACAGCTACTGGTGTGAACTACACAAAGTTGCGGAGAACTTCTCGTTGTTTGCCCCTAGCGGCTCTTGTCCTGGACTTGGTAATCGGGTCGTGATGCCCTCAACCACTGTGGCGTCAGTGTAGACCAGCGCAGGAGCATCAATCATGCGTCACGAGGCTTTTAACTACTCCCACCTCAACACCACTCATTTTCAAACCACATATGAATTTTCTAAAGTGGCGATTTCCGGACTAGTGGATTTTGTTTCTCGGAAAAAAACTATTATTCGTAAATGCATTGCCCTAGGACAGGAGAATCACGATGCAAAATGTTGGTGATAATTTTTGAAGAAGACGCTGAAGAGGCACTACGGTAGTCCATTAAAATTAACGGGTGAATATGTTGGACAATAAGTAGTTCAGCCTGGTGTAACTAAGACATAAGTTATTTCAACGAAACGATGACCTCACATTTTTCACAATAATCCCAAGGTCACCAGTGAAGCGAATCGGGCACCACGCGCAAAATGTCCCTGCCATCGCCTTTTCTGCGTAGATGCTCCGGTTGTAGGGAGCTCCTCGAGCCGCCCTCGGACGAGGGCCAATTCGGCGTGCAAACCAACGACGGCCGCGCCTGGCACTCGGGATGTCTGGTGTGCGCGCAGTGCCAGTGCCCCCTGTACAACAGCGGTGATGTCGTCTCCCGGTGCTACGCCAAAGGGGGACAAGTCTACTGCCGAAAAGATTACATATGGTAAGATTGTGGCTCTTTATTGAACGCAACATCAAATTCGCTAACTGTCGAAGTCGACCTGGAACGGTCCGACCGTCGACAGTTCGGATTCAGACGAACCTAAAACGGAGTAATTTTGCTGTCTGGTTCATCGTTCACGCATACCTGTCCGCACTATTATTAGGGACTTGAACAAGACCAACACCGGTGAATCTGGTGGGGTGGAAAGCACACAAGCGTGTCGCCATGTTCAGTCACTCAAGTCTTGTCAGCTAGCTTAATTCTACTGTACACATATTTCGAGCCACTGCGAGACGTACTAGTGTGCCATTGGAAAGACTTGCTGGGGCACACGAAGCTCCATCTCTCTTCTCAAGCTCAGCCAACTATTATGTCAGCGTGAGTGAAGCGATTTAACAAAACCTCGGTCTTTTATCCGACGTCGTGACTTTGCCCTGCGGCGAAACCTGCGCGCGCTCAAATATGCGTGCGTGTGTGCCTGTTTTGCTCAACGGCCGCTAGAAGGGGAAGGGTGGCCCTTCTTTGCACGCAAGCGCAGCACACGTTGATAACGTAAGAGGGGAGAGGCTTGTGTGTGTGTGTTGACTCCGCACGTGCCTGGGTGAGGACGTGGAAGCGGGGGTGGGGTGGGGATAGTGCCTTCGGGGGATCACATCTCGTTTGCTTAACACGTCTCCCCTTCCTACCGCGTTGACGAAGCCCACAACGAACTCGTGACTAGTGGAGAAACTGGGCTAGGCCCAGCCTCGTGAACGCTATTTCCTAATTTCGCCTGCCCAGTTTCTCGCATTCATTTTATTTTTACTCAAAATCACGTTTTCAAATATATGCCATGACTCCCTATTATCACCATCACTACAGAAATTGGTGATGCTTGAAGTCTGGTTTCACTTCAGCTAGAAATTAGTCGGTATTTTTTCTTTCTCGCAAACAGGGTCTGGCCATTTGTAAAATCCAGATAGAAGTGCTGTCCAAACAGGGCCAGCCGTCGCCCTCCTCTGTATCGACAAATGCACAGCTAGTAGGAAAATTCACTCCTCCAGACATTGTGCGGTGTGACGCTATTTCTCCCAACACCGAAAAGTTTAATAATTACTTTCTAAAGTAGCTTCTGCTAGCAAACCGTGAAAAAGCAGCCGTTTTCTTATAGCAAAATAATCAATTACCAATCGATGCTTCTTAAGTGCTAGGGTATTCACTCCTTCAAGATAAGCCGTTGAGGGGGGTTTGATAGTTGTTTCATTAATTTTAATCACGTGAATAGTTGAGTCCCACTTTTGCAATGCTCTCTTCAGCCTGTTTGAGGAATCCCAGTTGCGTCGATCAACCAGCCCATGCCTCGGCTGCCGTCAGCCTCTCCTCCCCGGTAACCTGATCATGCACAGCCCGTTCCACACCTTCCATTTCGAGTGCTTCTCTTGCTATGTCTGTGGAACCGGTCTGCTTCCCGGACAGCCTTACCTCCTTCACAACGACTCGCCTGTGTGCCTTCATGATTTTATTCAACTACAACAAAAAACCCCGCCACCAGGAGACTGCACCAAAGAAATCGCCCCAGCACTAAGTCAAAGGAGGATACGAAGAGCGGAACATTTCACCGAGTGCCTGGGTAATTTACTTGCTAGCGAATCCTTTTTCACCAGACCAAAAGCTGTGGTGCGAAAGTAGGCTCCTGCTTTATTGATAAGAGGTGATGATGATTTGGGGTGCAATGTGCTGAGAAACAGGTGAATTATGACCTCTTAAACCCATATCAGCCCCTAAGTCAACAAGGCTATTTTTGCAATTATTTGGCGATAAGAACATCTCGTACAGCTAAGCTACAATCAGGGTACCTTTGCGTCCAATAGAACAATGAAACCTTGAGTCAGGCTGCCACAAGACACACCTACATTTCTCACCTCCTTTGCTTGTCGTTTCCCCTGAATAGATCGTGTTTGTGGTGGCCGCACTGCTGGCTTCTTTTTGCAGCTGCAGCACTCGCCGCTTTACCTTTCCTCCCGACAGAAGCGCGTTCGAACCTCCTTCAAGCACCAACAACTCCGCTCGATGAAGGCCTTCTTCGCAAAGAACCACAACCCTGACGCCAAGGACCTCAAGGGTCTCTCGGAAGTGACTGGGCTCTCAAAACGCGTCCTTCAGGTTCGTTTTCAATGTGATCGACTCCTTCGCGTTTATCAAGCAAGTACACGAATATGACTAGCAAATTTTTTTATCACTTCAAATAATCAACTACTCGGTTGGTCAGTCTGGGATGAGTGGCTTTGTCACTTCATGCTCCATACTTGATCACACAACTCCGGCTGCTGCTGATGATGCTGGTTGGAGGAGATTTGGAGTAAATTCATTCCACTGAGATTCTTGTCTTAAGGTTAGTCAGGGATCGCATTGTGGGTTGGCCATCGCAAGTGTCCTGGTTTCTGTTCTCTCACCACCTGCCAAAATATGCCGTTACTGGTGCCGACGTTTTACCTCTGTTGGTCTGCGTGAGTAGTTCGTGAAGGGACCATTGGGAGTCAGTTTTGCCCTGAATGGATGGAATCATTCGATCTGATCCGGGAGAAAAACTGGAGCCAGACAACCTGGGCCTCCAGAGGTGTCGAAAAGGCAGCAGCTCAAGACAAAGCCGGTTCGGTAGACAATAAAACTAGGCAACGAATATCGGATTTTGGGATATTATTGATTTAGCCTTCTTTGCATCAGGCAGTGTAATAATTTTCACCATCATTTCGTTTTTCTGCTTGCAATTCACTGATTATTCAGTCATCGCAACTAGCTAGGTAGGTCTCACTGGAACACCAAAATTGTGTCACAAAACTATCCACGCATCTTCATTAAATTTAGCGTCTTAGAGTTCCGAAAATTACCCCAGATTAAAACTCGTAAGATTAGTTCATATTTGAATATTCTCTGAAGGTTAGTTCAAAGTCGGATAACATGCCCTGGCGATAGTTCAAGGGCACATTTTGTATTCTCTACAAATATGACTGAGTGTGTAGAAGTTCACGGTGGTCAAAGGTAGCGCGGAGTGGCTGTCCCTGTTAAAAAAACAGCGATTCAACTACTGAACACTGTGCCACAATATAAAAAGCCATACATTTTGTTAAAAATCCTTTTAAAATAGCTGGACGATTAGATAAATTTCCTATTTTAGCAAGTTGGACCTATCGAAAGCGCACAATAATCTGCATGGGGTTTGGCGCCTCAGGCGGAGCAAACGAGAGAAGAATTGGAGTTAAAGCGTTTCCGTTGCTCCTTGACGGTTTAGCATGGAGATAAAAAAATGGGGAAACTGCAACCCAAAAAAAGCATCCAGACACCTCAAAGTCGTTTTAGTATTCGTATAGTGAACTGCATAAAATTCATGTCTTGGCGGCCATTTTATTTTGCATGGTGGCGATGATGACGATAATGAAAGTCCCTTGAACTGAGGTCTTATGCAGTGCTTTGAAATGTGTGATTGAAAAATGGACCTAAGGAGGCACAAGTGGACATAACTGTAGTCAAGGGGGCTATCTCATCCCAAGTGCCAACTGCCTCTAGGTCTGGTTCCAAAATGCCCGAGCCAAGTACCGCCGAAGTGTTGGAGGCCCGGATACGCCCCGGCACAGCTCCGGCGCCGACTCCCGCACCCACAGTCCCGGCAACTCCACAGTCGACACCGCCATCTCGGGGGAGTACTGCCTTCGACTAGGGCTCGTGTAGCCTCACATCCTGCAAGCCCTGTGTTTTGTATGTAAACGATTTTGTACCAGCTGAATTATCTTCTGTTAATAGTGTTACTTCCTTATTTGAATTTTAATCTTGAGGAGTTTCAGTTTACTTGAAGAAAAAATGATGATGTAGTTAGGTGAGAGTAACAATGTGCACTCGCAGTGTCTAATTGCCTGTGAACCTGATACATTGGGAAATTAGTTTTGCTGATGGCAGAGAAGGGTAGGGAGTTGGGCACAAAAGAGTTGGCTTCGCTTGACGACAAGTTCTCGCTAACAAGGCGGCTGCCAGACCCTGCGCAAACAGCAGCTTTTCCGCTTCAATGTCAACAAGAATTCCAACAAATGATCTGCTTTTAGGATTTTGAATTTGCAGATATTTAAACGGCCTATTTCCACGCTGTATTACAACTCTTTCAAGCTTGGCTTGAAATGAGTACATCTGAATCAAGTTATTGACATAGGTCGATTTAAATGTGCCTTTACTTCTGAAAGTTGGCAAAACCTTACCCACTTGTTAGGGTAAGAAAACTTACCACGCCAAAGAATAGAAAATCTTTTGACAATTTCACCTTTCCTGCATTTGCTGGTGTCCGCATGCACAACTTGGCATTCATCCAGGTAACGCCCCAACTGCTCAGGTAAATTCCCGGCAGGAATAACTTGGTGTGTGTTGTTAGAGCCCGCCGATGACGCATCTGGTCCATTTGTCGTGTCGTAGACCCCCTACAGGAGGGGATGAATCATGCTGTTAAAGAATCTGCACTTGTAGACCCTCTTCATTCTACCGGGCTTCAAGCAGGAAGTTTACGGAGGCGCTAGGCCGTGCGCTTGGGCATTTAGAAATAACAGCCGACGTGTACTTATGAGTCTGGTTCAAGCTTGTTTACAAATTGTACAAGTTACTCAATAGCTGTGAGGGCAACAGGACCGAAATTCCGTGAAATGAGGCCCAGCTGCCCAAAGTCTAAGAGGAAATAACTCACAGCCGGAAGCGAGCAATTTGGGATAATTTTACAACAGACTTTTGGTTATGCATTTGCTCTGCCCTCGATCGCTAAATTGTCAGACAGCACGTGGTCTCAAACCACACCGGGGCCGCTGTGTAGAATGGGTCCATTAATGCTAGACAGGTATCCGCGACGATCAGAAGAGTGCCAGTTATCGCAGAGACACCCGTTTACCAGACAACTCAACCTAGTTGTGTTTGTCGTATCACTGAGCCTAAAAAGTCATTTCTGAGTGAGGCGGATTGTTGATCAATACTGTAAAAGCACAAACTGCCTAGTGGTCGGATAAGGTAAACCGGTAGCGTGGGGGTGGCACACGCACAGGGGTGTATGAGCAGACGGTTTCGAGGTCGATAAGGACGCTGTAAAAATGAAGTCAATGGGACGAAAAATGCGCCGTCTGGGTTAATAGACTTGATTCAGCTCGGTCCACTACGCTCAACTTGCTAGATTTTGGCAACAGATAAAGTCGCTTCCTCGACCTTGGGTGTTGAGAGCAGCCCGCATCAACACGGAGTGCTGCGACCTCCAGCACTTGTCACGAGGCGGTCAGACTAAGCCGCCCGGGGTGTCGCGGGCTGTCGAAAAGCGACCCCACTCCCGCCCACCTAACTCCATCTTCCCCATCGCGAAGAGATCCTTTCACAAACAGACTACTAGACAAAATACCAGTCAGAGAAATGGATTGGAGCAGATTGTGGCCACTTAAATCAACGACGCCTCCCACCACAACTACTCAAAAGACTCTAATCGCGTTCTGTTAATTTCGAATGAGATCTCAGATGACCTTCTTAGTCGCCTGATATCTGGTTGGGTCATCTCTTGTTCTTTATGTGGACCAGTTCTTCTCTGATCTCATTCCGTTGACCTTGGACAGTTTTGTGGTCCCTCTGGTTACTTAAAAAGAGCCACTAAAGCCCAGGGTGTCTGCCCCTTTCCTGACACACGAGGTGTCTAGACCACTGTGCTGGGAAATAGTCTGGTTGTAGTGTGGCTACACGCCAAATGGGGGCCTCACTTCTACGCAAAATCTAGCGGATGTCAACAAGGGTGGCGCTTTTGGCTTTTCGCCTGGAGGCATATCGTGCGGCTGTTCGACCGCCGGCCTGCTCAAATATCCACTGTGCCGACCCAACGTGGGGCAGGATTACACATTCACTGTGAAAGCTAATGATGGATCTTTATGATTCTAGACTTAGATCGACATGCTGTAGGCCCTGGCATGTGGTCTTGATCCAGTCACGCTACATGGATACCTGAGGAGACTAGAAAGGCCGGGGATGGCGTAGACTCAATCGGCCTGGTTGCCTGTCGCACCATGTCTGGCAAATAGAGGTTGTCGATCAATACAGCCTGGGTGGGACTGTCAAAGCACAGACGATTGATGGTGCAGATGAGTGAAACCAGTCACAGGAGGAAGGTACGCACACACAGGGGTGTGTGGACAGATGGTCCACCATGAGCGATGCGGACGTCGTGAGAAGTGGCAGAGTTGGTGGACGTGAATCAATGCGATTCACCACGCCAACACCTTATCCACCACAGTGTTTGAAATGATTGCTTTTATTGCTTTCAAAGTAAATGTTTATTCGATTGCCGTCACCTGCGTTGAACTTTCTAAATGCTCCTTTTGTGACCAATTAAGCATAATTGAAGCGTTCTGAACCAATGGCAACCCACGTAAATTGACCCGACATTACCAAGAAGGACGCCGACATAAACCAGTTTCATTAATGTGATGAATGCAACACTGTGCACAACCTAACACCGCCGCATTAAATAAGGCGACTTCAAGGCCTAACCTGCCATGACGCCGACGACGACGACGACTCCAAACTGGGCCGGTGAACCAACACTACGCGATCTGTCGGTGTCGGAATGCGTAAGTTCATCCCGTCCAGCTTGAACTCTTGGCCTGATCGCAGCAGATCATTTGGCTTTTTGGCATCGAAGTGGAATGAGCGTCGTGTACACCGAAGTTCAGGGCACATCACAAACACTTGGATGAGCTGAGCGCACTCAAAGCAGACACTTTGTGAGATGCAGCATCTCCTCATTTTGTACTCACATTCCCATTAAACCCCAATGTCTTTTTTCAAAGAGGAAGAGGAAGTGTTGCGTAAATTTTGCTGGGCTCAATGTCGCACGGCTAGAGTTAGCCACTACTCACATTTGCAACAAATGACGATTCGTGTTATTTGAACGAAGCCAGGTGGTCTTTCAGATGAAATTGGAGCCAAACGGTGAGACCTTAGTTAGTTTCATGAAGAATCACTTTTTGTGCCAACATAGCTTGTAGTTTCTCTTCGAGACGGGTGGTTGATGAATCTGCTGATAGAATGGGCTAGGTCCATCAATGTCCACACGCCATGTGCTCGCCTCAATTTCACAGACATCGTCTTTCAAATTAACGGTAATTTAGACCAATATGTTGTTAAGAGCAAATTCTTGTGTATTTAACGAAAAAACCAGTTACAGACCAGAACCAGAGCACACTCTTTTGACTGGCATCAATCATTTTACGGACTCAATTATCGGTTTCCTTAAAATTTCATTTTACGATACATTAAGAGGTCCGAAACAGTGGCTGTGCTTTTACTAGGAACAACACTTCGTACTTCAAACAGTTTTGAAGGAAAATCACGGTAATTTTAGAGTTTATTGTCTTTTCCGTTTTTTGCTAATGGAACTTTAAAAAATATCATGCCTGAAGTGAATTGCTAGCGGTCCCATTCTGAGATATGACACAAACATCTCGTTGCTAGGGTGATAATCTAAATCAAGTGGACTAACCACCTGGTGTACTTTCCAATTAGGGTAGAAATTAAATAGAAAATACTGCTATACAGACTTATTACTGACAAATACTTAGTAGAAGAATCGGCACACAACAACAAACGGAAGGTTGTAGCATTTGAGGGAGTTGGGGACTCCTGACAAGTAGAAGGTATTAACATCCACTTGATAAACTTGTCCCAGAAGTAGACAGAAATGTCCCTGGTAATGCCTCTTCCCACAAAACAAACCCTCTGCATGCACCACTGAATGTGGGCGATGGGAAATCGTTATTCTATGAAACATCCCCATGTTAAATTACTAGTCACATGTGTGACTTATTTTGAACAAACCATACTGCTGGGACCGCATTTAATGAGCTGCACAACATTGAGAATGTCTTCATTTCTACGACAATGCCGGTCACTAGGATAAAGGGGGACAGACATTAACAGTGGCCTTTGTACACAGCTAGCACATCCTCGTCCCATGTAGCTAAAACACAATGTTTTTGCAAACTCTCAAGTACCCATTCAGATTGTCAGCGCCGTTTTCTGGGCAGGTGGTGGTACTGGGAGATGCCAGTATCACTGTTAATTCAGAGTGGCGTTTGGGTGACACGGTCAGGCCATCACGTGACGACCCCTTTGAGAGCAGGGGGACAATTTATTGCTGGTTGCGCGCTGCCCAAGTTGCCTTTGGCTTGACAAACGTGGAGCAGAGAATGACATCATTTTAGGGGGTGCTGAAAGCAGGCATCTTGTGGGAATCTGCTCCAACACGCTCCGGTTAGCTTAAGGTTAGCCTGAACACGCCTAAATGCTTGCTTCAGTGTCGAACTGCGATTCACATGGCACGATGCGGAACTAGTCGACCAACGCGTCAACTGAACGCCCTTCACAAATCTCTCGACTTCCATTTAACGCACAAAAGCGAACATCCGTTCACCTGTGACAACACTTCAACCCACACGACAGCCAGAGTATTCTTGTAGAGGCAGTAAATGAATGAGGCATTTCGACCGTCTGCTTTCAGAGCCCAACAGGCCAAACTACAATTCAGGAAGCATAAAATGTCAGACCATTTCTACAAAATGCACCCAGAACTAAACTGACAACTTAGTAAACATTTCATATTTCTACTCTCTTTACAATGTGAAAAAGGCATGTCAGTTTAATAATTCAGGGTGTGACAAATCCTTAATTTAGGTGCAATCAAAGGGAGAGTTGAGAATCACACAGAAGACAATTTAGTCTCTGCCACTTTAAGCTAGTGAATCAACCCTTTTGCGTTGCAGTTTGACAGTTCGTGACCAATTTATTTGTAGTTTCAAAAGTTGAATCTGAACCAAATTTTGGGCATTTTTACCAACACAAATACATTATCGAAGATACTTTTACTAGTTGTAATAATTAATTCATTTAAGTTACGATTTTCCTCATCTGGCATTCCAGCAAGCGGAGCTATAAAAGCAGCGAAATCTTTTCACGACACTTAGGAAAAACCATTGGCATTACCGGAAGAAATTAGCCACACACATCGCACAAATTTATGGGCTTGCACTTCTGTTCTGTTGTGGAAATTAGGCACCAGTATGCGACTAAGGGATCCGCTTAATTTCCCCCATTACTTTTAATGCAAATCAAAGAGCGTGCCAACGACACCGCCCACAGATTTTTTGATGGCACTTTGAATTGCCGACTATTAAGTCGCACTAGCAAAATGCGATTTCAGCTGTGGATGCAATTGCCCTAATTCACTCCCCTGTCGGTTGCTGCATTGGTCAAACTCACACACAGATGTTCGATTTGTTTAATTTTCATGTTATAATCAACAGGGGATAGTGGTTAGCTGGTGGTCACTTCATGGGCCTCTTCTTGTTAGTCAAATATATCTGGTTGATGTAAAAAGTTACTATCTATGAGTCACATATATGCTTATGCGTATACTTATTATGCGTATAGGGATGTTCGAATTACTTTGACTGTCTTCTAGCAAATACGTACTACGATACGTCGATTGGAGTGGAAAATGATATTTTATTAAGCGATGTGACGTTCATTTTACAATATGCTTCGATCTTAGTGGCCCGTGCACCAACGGTGGTGCGTCGATATTTATCCACGCATATGTCTCTACTTAGAATATTTAAGTAGAGACATTAGCTAAAAGTGGAAATGAATAAATTGAGTGACATGGCAATCATAGAAGTTGCTTGGAAATACTGCTCTACTACTGAACTGAAAGTAATGTAACTCTAGGGATATTTATAATGCAAAGAGTTCGCCTTCGCCTGTGGTGTGCTTTTTAATGAGAGTAGAAGTTACATTTTAGAGCCCGGCTGACGATCTCGCGTCTCTTGGAAACTCGATAGGCACTAAATAAGCTGCGACCTACGTCAGTGATTACCTGCTATAAGAATAGCCGATTCATGGGAATTCTCTTCTACACATGCACACACACACGAGGATTGCATGCTATTTCCCCTATTGGAACAGATGACACCGCGCTCTCAGTACGACCAATGAGAGCAACTTCAGCTGGTCAGGTAGTAATTTGCTGTAACTCGTACACTCGGCCTTGACAGCAATGAGCAAACTTTTGCGTAACCTCGTATAACCGTACTGGAATTGCGGTGTCCTCGGTATCATAGCGATGAGGGTGAGGTGTTTTGTATTTAAACAAGTGAAAGCTCCACATTTGATGTTGAGACGCTGATTAGGTCCAAAGATCTTCAACCAGTGGCCTGACGATTTCGCCGCACACATCCAGGCCTCCGATTCCCATCAGCTCCGGGATGATCAGCTGAGAGATTCATGCACCAACACATGTGGAGGAGGTGTCATGACCCTTGGAAAGACCTCCACTTAACTCCAGAAGCTGGACGCGACCCTTTTGCGTTGCAGAGAAGAACCATATTACAAGCACTTGAGCCTGGCATTCTCCTTTTAAAGTTCTGGATGCTTCATGCCTGGAAAGGCGTCGTAAATTTTGACGAACCTGCGAGCGCGCTGGCGTTTTCGAGGGCTGGCAATAATTTTCCAAGCCTATCTCAAATTTCCTTAAACACTTGCGCGAGAATTTTCACGCGCGATTGTGTGTGTGTGCCTGTGAAATGAATAGAAACCCAACTAAGATGTATCCGCTCGCACGACACTTGTGTGAAAAACGGCGACAGTATCTGGAACACGTTGAAGTCTTTTACAGCACTTGTTAAAACAAACCAATTAGGAGTTCAAACAAAGTGTATAAAACAAGCAAGCTTAGCCGGCAGCTCATAAGCCTTTGCTGGCATGAATTACCGGCGATTGTATGGCCGGACTTAACGATATGTCGACGAGTGACAATAATTTTGCGATAAATCGTACCTCCTGAATAAAATTTATTTGGAGTGGCTAGTGGAGTCATTCCATTCAGCTCCCGGAACTCAAAATAGGCACGTGCAATTGCCTCGAATCAAATGAATGCATCCGCGTACCATCGAGTCTGTAACCAATACCTATTACTCCATCCTCCACACGCGCGCACTGATTTTGCTGCACATTTCAAAGCGGCAACTCTCGTGGTCCTGGTGCGCAGAACGCTGCGACGATTGTTCCGACAAAACCTATACTGAGTTCTTTAAAAATAAGCCCCTTTTCCGTACCCAAGTGGATGCTGCAGTTAGCATGACTTTAACACACTTTCCGTGAATTAGTTAATGTCCTGCAAGCATCAGTGACCTACCACGGGCATGTTTATGTGCTATGCAGGCAAGTTCTCTGCCTCCGGCTCGACCCGGGTTCAGAACTGTTTGGGGTGTGTGCCGGAGGAGGGTGGAAGGCAGGTGGGGCGAAGATATCAGTAACCACGTCCTTTTCCTCCTCCTCCCCCTCCTTCACACCCACACGACCCCGGGGTGCTGTTTAGATTAACCCCAACCCAGACCTCGCTCCCGGTAACTCGCAATGGCATGAAGTGTTTATGTCATCGTCACACTGCCAATCTTCTCTTCTGGGAACTAAGTCGAGTGTCCCCGTTCAGGGAGAGAGAGAGAGGCATATGTAGGCTCTCATTTTTTTTCTTTTTTGTTATGTTAATGCGCTAGGGAATGTGGGGAATTCAAGCAAAAGTAATTTTTTATTCTACACGAGAGTGACCTTGACCGAACATACCGCGATTCTTCCAATGAGCAGGAGCAGCAAGGTTGCATCAAGTTAAACTCTCCACCTCCCCG